GTTGTAATCTATCTACATTCTACAACCAATAAAAATCTACTAACATGGCTTTCACCATGTTATCTAGTATATTATGTATTAAATATATAAACATATTATTTTTATATAATAGACAAACCACAATACAACATTGTATATATGAATCACAAGAATCTCGAGTACTTCATATCAGCATGTATTTTAAATAGTCGCCAAGCCCATTGAAGCATGTCCTTATCAAGATTTGATTTCAAGATCACATATTGACCTGGAAAATAATAAGATTTGTCAGACGTCCTTTCTAGACGTTCTTATCTTGCACTAAAAGAAGGAGATGCATCTTTTGATCAGTAAAGAATAATTTTCTTGAAGCCAGAGTATTTTCATCTTTGAATAATGAAATCAACGTTGACTGTTGATTCGATCCTTATAAAACAAATCCAATCAAGTATGTCTTCTGATCTTCTTCTCACAATATTAAGAATCCTTCTTCTAAGTCCCAAGATATTTTTAAGTTTGAGTTAAAAAACAACCTACTCTATTTCAAAGATCGATTATATGTTCCAAAAAGAGAAGCACAATTACGTGTTCTTCAAGCACGTCAAGACTTTCTAGCAGCAAGATATTTTGGATACAATAAGACTTTGGAGCTTATATCTAGAGATTTTTAGTGGCCACAAATGTAGAAGGGTATAAAAGACTTTGTTCAATCATGCTACATTTGTTCAAGATTAAAAATTCCTTTTAATCGACTTTACAGACTTCTTCAACCATTACTTATTCCAGAATAACCATGGTCTTTTGCTTCTATAGATTTCATCACAGATCTTCTAATCTCATGTTCTTATGACTCTATGTTCGTGATAGTAGATTATGATACCAAGATGGTACATTTTGTACCATGTATAAAATCTATCACAAGTGAAGAAATAGCTAAGCTCTTTCTTGATAACATCTATCATGGATTATCCAAAGATATTATATCAGATAGGAGAACTCAATTTATATCAAGATTTTGGCAAACTCTTTTCAAGATTCTAAAAGTAGATATAAAACTATCTTCGGCATTCCATCATCAAATTAATGGACAAATAGAGCGTGTTAATCAAGTTTTGAAGCAATATTTAAGATGTATTATCAACTACTAACAAGATGATTGGACAATTCTTTTGCCATTGGTAGAATTTGCTTATAATAACACAATATATTCTTCTATAAAATAAACATCTTTTTTTGCCAATTATGGTTATCATCCATGACTTGATACTTTTGACTTTTCAAAAGCTAATAATCATGTGGCAGAAGATTTGGCCAATCATTTATCAAAGTTACATACAACAATGAAGGCGCAATTAAAAGTAGCTCAAGAACAATAAAAGATGAATGCGGATGTCTATCAAAAGGAACAACCACCATTCCACATGGGTGATAAGTTATGGCTAATTCATTGCAATATCAAGACTACTTGTTCTTGCAATAAGTTGGACTAATGTAAGCTTAGACCATTTCCTATTTCTGCACAAATCAATCCAATTGTATATCGTTTATACTTACGAGAATAAATAAAAATCCATCCAATATTCCATGTCTCTCTTCTTGAACCATATAAGACAGTGGATATACCAAGAAGAAGACAAGCTCCACCTCCTCCTACAGAAGTGAGCAATAATAAAGAGTTCAAAATGGAAGAAGTTCTAGATTCAAGGCGACACCAAAATAAATTAGAATATCTTGTCCATTAGTATAGATATGATATTAGTGAATGAACATGACAACCAGTAAAAAATCTTACAAATGCAACAAAGGCAGTGGAGGCTTTTTATGGACAATATCCATCAAAATCAAGATAAAAACCTTCTTTATAAAAGAAACAAGATTTAGACAAGATAACATTCTACTTTCAATCTTTATTTGTAGCTTCTTTGTAATTGTGATACTAAAAAAATAGAGAACCAACGAGTAGATTCGACTAAAGAGCCTTTGTTTGCTGACCTACCAAATGCAACATTACAATTGTCACAACCTTCAAGATAACAAAATCGAGATGAAGATCTTCAAGAACGATATATTTTTTCTTGAATAGATGGCGAGATACAATGCATTTGGTATCTCCATCTTAGAAGAGACTCTCAATATTTGTTAATTTTATTAGAGGTAGGAACAATTTTTGATGATGTTCCAAATATTTTATTTGAAGGAAGTTATGAAGGCCTCAAAAACGATCAGATAATAGGGTGGTCTTCCTGCCCTAGTATGAAAGACTATTGATGGTTGAGAAGTCCTATCAACCATCTTCGAAGGGAACAAAGATTTGAGTATGTAGCAAATATAATTTGTCAAATCATAGATGTCCTCAACATATGATGACCGCTCATTGTAGAACTCATTCCTAGAAAGGAGGATAATATCATAGACATATGCATGTAAGCTAATAATTTCTTGTATAAATAGATAGAAGTAAGTAGAAGTAGGTAAAAATAAGTTAATTCTATAATATCTTCTGTAGAAGCTTCCTAGAAGCTTCATAGATGGTGCTTTGATTTTATAAGTATCCTTAATTGATTTTTTGGATTAGAAACGTGGTCAACAAGTTCGCCATGTACTACACATATTGTTAGCTTGAAGACCAAGCTAACTATGTGGCCCACACGTAGATAAAACTTGCCTTGTAAGTCAAGGCATGTGTCTTATGAAGTCAACACATATTGAAGGTCCTGTAGAATATTGCCACATAATCCCTGATTAGATAGTATATATAGAGATAAGAATGAAGCCCTCTTTATTCTTGTCAACTATTTTCTTTCTTCTAGTCTAGATTTAAGAGTCTATAGTTTCTTTGTCTTTTGGCAATAGCTATTCTACTTTCTTTTTAATATACATACTACTTTATTTCTATTTTGTCACTTTTCTTTTAATACATATTTTTCAGATTTATACATCTTCTTTCAGTTCATATCCTTGATATACCTACAAATCAAAGTTTGGTTGTATTAGACTTATGTCTTTTTACTTAGTTAATAAAAATCTCAATTATATTATGGAAAAAATTAATATTATAAAAAATCTAATTTATCAAAGAATTACATATTTTTAGCCATTATAAACCTAAAATAATTGAATTAGATAAAAATTTAATAATATTAAATATTATTAAGCTATTATGACTATTTATTACTACATTTGTAGAAATAGTTTCACAGATAATATTTTAAAAAGGCAAAAGATAGCCATCTTTGTCTTTTGCATGCATATGTTTTTTTTTTTTTTTTTTTTTAATTAAAGATTTATATTTTTTAAAGAAAGTCTTTATTTAAAAACAAAATTGAAGCTTTTGAATCTATCAAAAAATCTTTCAAGACTTTATAGATTTTTTTTATTAAGAATAGATTATATATATATATATATATATATATATATATATTAAGATACAAGTATATTAGAAGTTGTGAATTATCTACTTCTAAATTGATATTATTTTAAGAAATATCTTTATTTTTGAGTATTTTCTTCTATTCATCTTAAGTTATATTGGACATATTTTTTTTATTATGTTATTATGGCACAACTTGTTAAAATAAATAATGTAATAGCAGAAATATAAAAAAATAAATAAAAGAGCCAATCCTTCCAATGCATCAATTCAATTTACTATTATAAGGAGTAATAAAATAGATTGAAACAAAAGATACAAAGGTGGTTGGAATTGCTTCAATATCTACATCAAATCATAATACTTTTATAAAAGTGGAACATCATTGAAGCATTACTATAAGTATTAGAGAACTAAAAATTTCCTTCTTTACGAAGATTGATGGTATAAGATCAAAGTTTCAAAGATTTGTCATTTAAGTTTAATTGATAATTTAGCTTTAACCACAAAGTTATCTAACTTCAAAATCTTAAGTTAGGTTTTTTTAGAATATTACTTTCAAATTATACTTTATCATGGTTTTTATCTTTCTTCAAATAACATGATCCAATATTAAATAATTTTGAGGTTTTTTTAACAAATTTTTTAATCTATATATAAAAAATATGATGTAATTTGTATTGCAGCTAATAAAATGTATATGTTGCATCAAGACAATTGCTTCTTATTATTATATGCTTCAAAATTATGACAACTTGCAACCAATATCAAGTGGAATGAAAGTCAAATCTGTATCTATAAAGCTTCTCCACAAGATATTATCAAATTTACATATTTTCACTTCTATTTTTTTATCTTATCAAAGTAATTACTAAAGTTGATATGTCTATAATACTTGAATACAATCATTATTGATGTGCTTGGTGATTGTTGCATTTATTTTTGTATATAATCTACAAAGTCTTTTCTCATTATATTATCTTTTTATAAATAAAAATCAATATATGAGGTTTATTATATAGAGACAGCTTACATACAAGTTGCATCTATTAAACAACTTTTCTTTCTTATCCAACCTCTTTTTAATTAATCTGTGCATTATTATCTAACCACAATTAAAGTGTATCAATTCTATTTAATTTATTATTTTGACTTTTTTTAATAATTTTATTTAATACAACACCTGTAAGATTTGAATTTGATCTCTTCTTTGTGCTTATGTTATATATAGACTATTGTTTTGACCTTTTTCATATTATCATATTAACCCTTTCTTTCTTTATCTATGACTTCCTTATCTGATTATTAATTCTAGTCATTGACTTTTTTCCATTTCTACTTTATGAATATTATGTGGTTCAAATATCAAGAACTATTCTATCTTGCACTATCATCAGTCATGCTTTTTTTAGAAATTTTAATACAGAATATTTTTGTATTTTATTCTCCACTGAAAAGCAAATCAAATTGGTAGATGGCTGTAGTCTATGATTTTAAAACAAAAAAGTCTTTTTTTTTCTTTTCTCTTTCTTTCAATGATTAGATTGTACGAACAACTTCTATCTTAAATATCTTTGATTTAAATTGCCACCCAAAATTTGGATACCAAAATTCTATAATTATTTGAATCAATCGCAACAACATAGCCTGATTTAGTTGCAATATGAGACATAACTCATTTAAACTTGTCAAGTACATTTTTTGTAATTTAACTCAAAACTCTAACATTCCCAGTCCCTACACAGCCTTCTTGTTCCTTAAATTCAAAGTTTGGATTACGAAGCTAAAAAGTACAAATTCCATAATAAGACATGAAAATTAACGGAATTGAATTTCGATAGTGGTATGACTAAGCAACCCCTCTACGCTGGCGTGAAAGTTAAAATCTGCCACAGGTTCACAAACAACGACTTCAAGAACTAGGCTAGTCGCATCTAAGATGCAATGGAAAACGATTCCATCGCATTCCAAGTTCGATTGCCAGCAAGGACAAACAGACTGCCATGTCAAATGAATCCTATCCTAACCATGGGCGCACTCACCGCCTGTTTATAAACCAGACGCTTCACCGACGATAAACAGTTAGGAGGAGTCACGACGCGCACGAAGTGATCGTTGAGCAGCCTTCGCAATCCATAGCTCCCCAGTCCCCCAACTGTGCTTGCCACGTTCTATGGAGTACTACGTGACTTCCACTGCTTCCGATGGTTTACTCGACGCGCTCAACCTCATCGACGCGTCCTAGCCAGTCTCCAATTATCTCCAAAGTCATAGTCACATAGGAAACCATTAATGCGCATCCCTCGCTGTCTCCAAATAGTATGCCGGGGTCATACGAAGTGTGCGTAGTAAGTACCAGCCACCCACTGCTTTCAGTTACGTTTCGAATCGAAAGGAATGGAAATTGCGTTGCAGGAAGTTACAGTCATGTCTGGGATGCATCCCATTTCTGTTCATTCGGTGTCGTCGCCACAATCACCTACTCCTCTGCCTAAAATTCTTTTCAGGCAAGATGTGATGGACCCAACAACAGCTACGTGCATAACTAGCTTGTGCCCAACCAAACACCTTGCCATCATCGTTTGTTCAACTGCGGACAACTCCGATGCAAGATGTGCAACAAACAACCCGCACGGCCCTCATCTTACCAAATTCATCCACGACCCTCCAATTCCATGGTGGACCAACATGTGAGGCGCTTTGGCCAAAGACCAAGTGCCTCGACTGTTTGCAAATACGCAGACAAGGCACACTACTAAACACTTCTCACGCCCATCACCAACTGTTGCACTGGCAACTGGGTTTCCCCATTGTTATTCCAGCTGGTCGCCGTTTTGATTCATGATGGTGTGTCCTGTCAAAATCGACCGGGGACATTCTCAGCACAATGACGTGAAATTGCAGTAGGCCTCAGTGAATGTAGCACTGGCAATCGTAGCCTTGGTTTTTACGAACACTCTTTCTTGTCCTCTCATCGCCATTCCCGCCTCCGTCCTTGCAATTCCCGTGCCAATATTCTTCACAGTTGCCCTTGCTGTTCCGCTCCATCCACAGCATGCAGGTGCCACGCAGCGCTTGCCGATCGATGATTATTAGCTCCCTTGTACACTCTGTCCCGAATGCCTCACTTCCCACTCCGGAAATCAAACCACGCTTCCAACAATAACAAATCGACACGCTCAACCGCAATTCCAGACACCCGCAATGCAACCCGCCCACTTGGTTTCAAGAATACGCATTAGTCGCACCAACTGTGAAACATACCCCTCACCCGAACTATGAGCCCTCGTCCTCACCATCCCCTGTAAAACATGCGTGCGCAATGGAGACATTACATCACATTCTCTCCACTTCCCTCTCTTGCGACAAGCTTACATTCCGCACCACTGATTTCCCACTACGCTTCCACATCATGCGGCCACGCCATCTGCAAACACCCACCACGTGACCCCAGACCAACATTGCTTGTTCTGCCCAACCACTCACGCTCAAGGTGCTCCACATCTGTCATCACATCATCCAACCTCACTTTGCCGCGTGCCAAACGGTCCCCTTTACCCCCACACCACATCCCACGTCCGTCCTTCTCCGTTCCGCGTGTTGCATTCCACTTCCAACCCGGACCTACTCATCACGTTCATACCACCCGCACACACACAACAATTCACACACTCGCCAACAATCCGTGCACTGCTGTGAAAGACTATCCACAACTTCAATTTATGCACGACACCACACACTCTGTTCACCTGATCAATTCAATCCCACCTCGATGACCATCGCTTGATTTGAAAGCACCGCTCACAGGATCAACCGCATTAACTATCCTACCGCTTCACAATTCGTGTCTTCCTACTTTACGCTATACACTACAACCTGGAACCTACCAGTCCTCCTCGACACCTACTATTGCAAACCCATGCATCGACGATCGTCCATGTCAGGTGCCTTCATCTCTGACCTCCTCGCAAGGAAAACCCATCCCTGCTTCACCTACGCACGCCCATGCCATACGGCCCTGTTTCACCCCACCCCTAGATACCCGCGCCCAACGGCTCACTGCTCCATTGATCCACCCGACATGCACCCATCCACGCTTGTCCAAGTGCACACCTTCGTTGCACCACCTCAACACCAAGTCACGTCGACCTACATGTTTCACCACCCAAGGACTTCCGCAACCGCATCACAGCACCACCTACTTTCTCGGCGATGGAGACAGGTCCCCTTCGAAGGAGCTCAGCCGGTTGATTTGTCTCGAAAGCTCCGCCATCACGGCTGGCTGCTCCTTCTTCCGCTGCTTCGATATGGTCTGTGTAGAAACCGCTCCAACCTTCTCAAACGCCACCTGCAGGTTCACGCATTCACAACTCTGTCAGCCTCTCCGCCATGCAAAATGAAATCCTCTCAACCAGTTTGTCCCCGACCGTCGCCATCCGGTTTCTTGCTTCTCTTGGCAACGCCCGCCCACTCAAACCACGACCGACCGCATGACAGCCACCGCTGTTCAATGCTTGCACCGACAACATCCTATGAGTCACCCCGTGAAAGCCATCGTTGCTCAATGCTTGGACTGAGAACCACATAGTACACATCATTCCACTCGGCACACCAAAACACCTCAACCCATGATGCCGGAATCACCTTCAGAAACTCCTCCGGGTCGTAAGCCACGCGCGTCGCTTCCTGTAAAATCTTGATCGCTTCGCCTACATACCTTGCTCGCAGCAGATCCTCCTCCTTCATCTGTACCACAACATCACCCTCAGACCTCGCAAAAACCGTGCCAACACCGAAGCCACCCCTCACTTACAAGCAAACACACCTCCCACCCAACTCCTTCTACCCCCATTTCCACACATTTCATCACGCGCCCGACAACGTCCACACCGCACGGCCTTTGCTTTCTGGTTACTCGTCCATGCGCGGCCACACTTTTCTCTATTCCAGGGAAAAGGACAGTGACTATACCATGAAAAATGCCAGCGCCACTCGAAACAGCGTGTTGGCCCCTTCATTGAACAGAACGTCCCATACTCGCATTGTCGACTGCACAAACCAGCCCTCTCGTCAGCACACCCATCCCACCAAAGTCCACCACCCTCACTCGCAAAACTCCCCAATCATGGACGCTTCAACACGCCTCCACACTGGCCACCCTCACCCGCGATCTACTGCTAACCACCAATCCAGCTTCACAGTCCTTACCTCCGATGGCAAGCTCTTCGAGAACAGGCATAGAAACCATTCCGTTGTCACCAGCGACACGTCGAAGTCGATGCTGTCCAAGTGGGCAGATAGCCTGCCAACAACACACCGCCCACACCCTCAAAACCCTGCACAACATCTCAAACCTCGCTCAATTCGTCTGTCCACCACACAACCCACACCTCACCCGCGTTCGCAGTACCATGCCTTGTTCAAATTCCTGCCCCCAATCCCCCCCCCCCCCCATGCCACAACCGCAAGGCATTGCATCACGTAGGAGACACAAGCTTCACACTAAACACAGCCCCAGGTAACAACCTTGGGCACTTCTTCTTGAACAGGTCCTTGAACACACGTTGCTCCACATGACACCCATACAAATTCTCCGAGTAGCTGTCGTGAAGCAGAATGTTTTCCAGCAGCACCGCCAGCATCCAGAACGCCTCCTCCTCGTTCTTCATCACCAACAGCAACGACGCAGCCACGTAGTTCATGCCCTGCACAATTGCGACCTCAATGGGTTAGCGACTCGCGTCCACCAGGCGTGGGGTCCGCCCACCGCACCCACCTCTGCACCCTTCGGATTTCACCGCTCTGCCCCACAAACACTGCAATGCTCCGCCACGACTCCTCGTGAAAACCACGACTACCATGTCATTTCGAGAGCTTACTTGGCAGTACCCTACTCGAGAATCCCGAAACGAGTATCCTGTCAAAATGCGCCGAAGTGTTGCCTGCCCTTGAGGTGAATCTATGGCCGGGTGACCTGGGAACGTGCGCCCCAAATCCTGCAAACCAGTGAAACCTCGTCAGACCAGCCTCCCCATTCACAACGCCTCCACAATGCCCGGGACGATCACAAGAAGCAGCAAACCAATTCGATCACGACAAAAGTAACCCCGTACATGATCTATCTGCCGGGTGGCAGACGTCTCTCTCCCCGACACAGCATCGATTAGATCCTGATAGTAAGTATCGGGAACCGTGGATCGCTTCTTCATCACCCCGGACACAGCTCGCCACACCTTCGGTCTCAGAGCCGGAGGAATGCCCTTCCGGATCAAACTCCGCAACTGCCCAGACCCCGTCAGAGTGGAGAAAGACCCTGACAGCTGCGACACAAGACCGGTCTGCGACTGAGACGAGATGTCCGACTGCAAGTACCAGTCCGACCCCTTGTTGGCTTCCACAGCCCACCACACCATACCCGCCTCCTTCACCCTCTCCGTCACCTGGTTCAGAACCGCAGCGTCCTCTCGCGATACCTCCAGCACGAACGCATACAGATCCGTCACCTTCACAGTGTTCGTTTTCTTCATGGATCTACTCGACTGAGTCATGCTTTCCCCCCCCTGCTCTGAATCAGGCGAACGAGCAACCCTGCCGACAGCACCCCTGCCGTTCTGCATTGTGCTCTGTGCGTCTCCGCCTCCGAGACGTGCTCACAAGGTTCTAACAATTCTAGATTTCCCACGACCTTCTTCTCTGTCGACACCCACGACAGCCTCAACTCTGGCTTCTCCGCGGCGCAATCACACGCTGCCCTGCCTCTGCTTCTAGATCGCAGCATCTGCGCCTGAAACCCCCCCTGTCCCCCATCCACACACACTCCCGTCTCCCTCCAGCTCCCCCCCAGCCCCGATTGATCTAGTCCCCCTACTTCTGCATCTAACAGCATTCGATCGCACCTCGCTTTGCACTTCGATCGCTTGGTGCAGTCCCCTCCATCGGGGACCAAACTGCTCGATGCTGCTGCAATGCCAGCCCTACTCCAATGTGCGGAGTGTCAGAACGCCCCCAGCGACCTGCTTCTGGAGTTTCACAAGCCTACATTGCCATCCAACACGAGACTGGCGCTCACAAACTCGGCAGTCTTGGTCCTTTCAAGAAATGCGGCCAGCATTAACGCTTCTTCCCAACCTGGGGCTGACCATCAGAGCGCGGATCCAATTCACAGTGTCACTGCGATTGGCCACCCTAGAATCGCACTTAGCTACCGAACAACTGCGGGAAATACCCACGGATTGCGCAGACCCAAGACAAGCTTGCAACCGGAACTAGGGTTTCCACAAAACCTCACAGCCACGAGTCGACAGCACTTAATCTGGCGGGTTGCAGAAGCTATACCGCCTCCAGCGACAATGCAGCAATGTGGGAGCACAAGCAGCGCAACAACCAGGAGATCGACTCAGCGCCTCATCGAAGCTGGCGTTTAGAGTGTCTTCTGAGGTGCATGATATGCGGGAGAGGGAGAGAAGAAAGGAATCGTGTGCGGTTGTTTGGAGTGCTCGCTGTTGTTGAATTTGCTGGAGGTCTTGGGGGAAAGTCGATCCTTTTTTTGCCTGGATCGTGATATTGCTGTTGCTGCGCCACCAGTGAAGAGACTCCCTGAATCGCGGGTAAATGCCTTCGGTGTTGTGAGCGCAGGTATATTTTGGCACCGCAATATTGGTTGTAGGTTGGCTGTAGACTCTAAAAAGGAGAATGTATCAGCATATTATGGAGTGATTGCATCGGCACCGTCCACAGGAACAGGGTTCAGTTGCTTGCGTCCTTCGTTGTTAGCTGACGAAAGGACCCAGGGAACGGTTTTCATGACGTCTTTCCTCTATCGTCAACTAACCAGGGGTGGGATTTTGAGGAAAACTTCGTGTTTGGTTATGATTTGTTTATGTTTCTGGATTTATTCTTTATTTGGAGAGTGTGTAGAGAGCAGGTTTTGCGGTGCAGGTACATCAGATTTCTCGGAAGTTTTTTTTGGTGTTGCAGTCTGGGCGGATTGAATGGTGATTGGAGTTCGACTTGTGTGATCGGATGCTATGTGCTTTGTCGTTATTATCGAACTGCTGAATGTTTCTTTTGATGTTTTTATCTGATTGGCTGTAAGTGTTACGAGATTTTTATAATTGCCGCTTCGGCTCTTCTCTTAGGATCAATACAGTGGATTTTCCAACCTGCAATAGTTGCTTTTCCTTTTTCTTACTAAATTCATCCAAGTTGATCAGATTGTTTGGATTGACAGTAGAAGGTTTTTTGCTGCGATATTATCCTCGGAACTTTTGTTTCCTTTGTTCGTAAACACTGCGTAGCTTTTTGACTTGATGTGTTAACAACTCAGTTTTTAAACAGCGGCCGACATGACATTTTGTAAATGAATGACGACATTGTCTTTATTACTTCTACTAAGAATTGAATTACATAATATAATATAGTGGTGACACCCAGTCAAGACTTGAGCACAAAGTGATACTGATTGGAAGTGATACAGCCTAAAAGTGGTTGTGTCTAGAAATAGTCTTATCCTATGACGATGATGAACGAGTGAGCAATGGGAGTGCATTAAAGATGGGAATTGCAACACCTCCCATGAAGTGCAATCATGCGGCTAACAATACTTTTGTCACAATATATCATTTAGTGGTGATTGATTCTTAATACCAATAGTCTCTCAAAACCTTAGGAATATTGCTGCAACAAGGGTCTTTGAAAATAATTTAATAGATTGTTGTTTTGTTTGAACATTTATTTATTTATTTTTATTAAATTTTCAAATCCTTTTTCTAACATGAGCTCCCAAAACAAATGATGCTTTCCTTCAATATGTTTGGTTCTTACATGAAAAGTTGGATTTTTATGATAACAAGTGTAGTAAATTGCAAGGTCAACTATATCTTTGATTTATTGAAGGATATATTGCATTGACTTCCATTATTATTCTTCAGATGCAAACATAAATCTACTAACAATGTGTGAGCTAAAATGAATCTCTACTAGTTAGAAGTTTATTCTAGTTCACAACAAGTGAATTAACTATGTGAATTTAAAAGTTAGAGATATGATTCAAATCCTACTCAATTTACTTCCTAACCTTCCTTATCATCCAAGTAATTAAGCCCCACTTCTACCATTAACTTAAACTTATAATAATAATTCTTTTACAAAATGCATATACCCCAAATTTTCTCTTTTAATCCTTATTTCAATTATTTTATATTGATTGATTTTTTTATCTCATATATAAATATATATATTTTAAAATTAATCGTTTAATTTTTTTTCTTACTTATTTATTTTATATTAAGTTTAATCAATTAACAGAAATCATCCAAGTATGAATTATCATCTGTAAATAACTTTTCATTCACGAGTGAGAATCCATCCAATTTAAGCAACATTCATCCACCAATTATAATTAACAGCTAACCTAAGTTCATCCCAAGGTTTTCATCCAATCTTAAGTTAACTCATCATTGATTAAGTCTCCATTCAACACCCAGTCTTTATTCAATACTTAATTCACTTATATGCTAACCTAATCGTTCATAATTTTGAACTTGGTTTCATTTGAAAAACTCATTTATCTGAGGACGAATTCGGAAGTTTCCACTTTGACGTTGCTGTGCTCCAGATGCTCCTTCGACACCACACTTCTTCCTGTACTTTCCACTCAGAATATGTGCACGAGGTACTTGCAATCAACTTGACCTTAAAATTGCCACGCAAGTCCACTCGTCCGTCTTGGCGACAATGGCCGTTGATGATGTATTCCAAAAATCAAAAGCGATCCCTTGCGAGGCTACAACATCCGCTCTTCAGGATAAAAACAACGCAACACTTAGTTACAAGGTCCCTTCCACAACTTCCAGAGCTCAGACAACACCGCAAAAAATAAAATAAAATAAAATAAATGCTGTCGAGATCCATGACTAACGCACTAGGCGACTATCACATCTATCCGTCTCTGACTTTCCAGTCGAATTGTCAACCGGTGGAAATTTCAGAATCTTACTGACTCATAAATTAGCCTCCACTGAACTTAAACCCGACTGATAGCCTGAGCCTCCATTCAGCTGAGCGCTGTAATGATAACATCGAAGAATTCCAAGGAACCTACAGTTTTAACAACCTGAACAATAGGAGCTTGTCAAAATTTACAAGAGGAGCCAACTCCTACGAGCAGTGACAAGGCTATAGGTCAATCAATCGAGATGAACCAAGTACTATCGAGGGCTTGAACAGCGAGTAGTATCTACGATCAATCAATCGTAATGCTCTTGTTGAAGTAGCATCGACCAACGCTGTGCAGCCTTTTGCCGAATCGGAGCTAGAATGGATCAGAAATTGTCGCATCACCGCCAACGTCGATAACTATAGATTCACCGGATAGACAATAAGACAGATCAATGCCGTCGTCAATGCAAAGTCGCGAGCCGCCAGCAAAACCAATGATGAAGCAGTCTCGGCAAGAAGGGGATCGTATTGTCGCAAAATCGTCCGCCTCTGTTCCTTCGACACAAGACCTCCACACGATCCCTTTAACTCCTTGCCTTCGGATCAGAAGTCAATTTGGAGCAGCGATCGTAATCAACGCTGCACTCCACTAGGGCCAAAAATACCGAGGGAGAAGGAACCACAGCCTCCACAGCAACACCAACACAGCAAAATCCACAGCAACTTAACTTGGAACTAGAGGCAGCGTCGAGCTACACTCTGAACTTTCTCAGCAACTCGTGTTGTATCCTCGAGAAAAAAACAATGAATTCCTTCACGGAGGTAGCACTCAATGACAAAAAAGAAAGAAAGAAATAAAGAAAGATACTAAGAGGGATTTGACTAGAGCTCGAGATTGTTACATCAGTAGCCTTCGCCATCACCTGCTGCATCAATCCAAGAGGAAGCACAAGAAAACAACTCCGCTGACCGCACTTCCGCCAACGCCTACTTCGAATACTTCGAATAAAACCAAGACCATTGCCACTTGTGAGGACCAAGCACCACTTCCTCAGACACTTGATTTAACCATCGCAATGCCAAACCACTCCAGCCACAATACCCATAGGAGCAGTGCTGCACCATACCACCTAAACGGAACAATTTAAACAAGAAAAAGTCAAGGGGAACCAGCCCCTCCCTCCACCAAATTCGGAGCTCTACCAAAAACACAGAAAAGAAAAAATTTGAAAGAGAGGGGTCTGGGGTGGACCGGACCCCTATCGGTGAAGAAGTTGCTGGGGTTTGGGGGCAGCCTCTCACCCTTCCATCAGCCTCTCTTTCCATCTTCGTTGTCTTTGTTCTTTTTCGGTTCTTCTCTTTTTCTTTTCTTTTTCTTTTCTTTCCCTCTCTTCTTCTCTCTTCTTTTCAGCTTTCACTTTTTTTCTCCTCTTCACAAGTTTTTTCTTTTTTATTCTATTGTTCCCTTCTATTCTTCTTATCCTCTTTTACTTCTTTTTCTTTTGAATTGATTTGAATCAATCACTCTCTCTTAGTTTCTTATCTTAATTAATAATCCATGACAAACTAAGTTATTTCCATTAGACCATCATCTAGTATTAACTAACTTAAAGAAAAAGTCTATTCATCTTAGAAATTTATCCTAATAAATATTACTTTAGGCTATATATCTACTATTGGCAATCCATTTTTTTTTTAAAAAAAAAATCTTAAAATTTCTACTACTAATTCATAAAATCTATGATTTTAAGTACAATAAGTGCATTTTTTATGCTAAATACCTAAGTGCATCAATTCAATGACTCATATATGGTGACTATCTAGGACAACTTAAAGATGCAGAGAATCTTGAATTCTTACTTTGTAGGTAGATTTTTATCTAAAATTAGTCTCTTTGGTTGTAATTTCTTATCAAAACTAGGCAAATTAGTGCTGCAAAATCAAAATTAAATGTTCATAAAAAGATATGGTTGGTATTAGTTTTACTCCTATCTTCTAATGCTATTTTTTTTGAGATAGAAAGACCATAGAAGAAAGTACTCTACTTAATAAATCAAGGTGAGATAATTCAATAGAATAAGCAAAAAAAAATCAAAAGAAGTAGAATTATAAAAAAAAAAAAAAAAAAAAAACTTTTAAATAAAAAAAATCTAAAAATTAGTACTATATTATTTTATCTATAGAGAAGAATTTAAGTTAGAAGCCGTGAGGCCTATATATCTTCTATATTGTATAAGATGGCTACTTTCTTGCTTGTATACTAGCTCATATAGATAACTGCTTGGATAGACTGGATTTGAACTTAGACTACTTCTTATATAACTACTTTTGTGGCCAACTTCCCAACAACCTAAGGATGCCAACTTATCTCTAAATTCCATATAGAGTTGTTTTGTCTCTCTAATGAATCAAGATCCAAATTTTCTTGATAAAAATCAAGTTTGATATTTTTCAGCTAGAATTCTACTCAACTTGAGTAATAAGCATGTAACTTCTTTTACCACTATGTGATAATTTTTTTACACTTATTTAATATTCTTTACATTTATTTTTTAATGTTTTTTTTTGAAATTATTTACCATTTAATACTTTTAACTATAAGAAGTTGTTGTCAAAAATTTCTTAAATATAATAAGGACCTAATTAGAAAGCATCAAATTTGCAAGAAAATTCATTCTCTTAGCATCTTGTAACTATAGTAGTATTCTTGATTGTAAGATTTTTTTTTT